TTGTTCTCATCGCTATTGTTCTTTTCGTCCATTGTACTACGTGGTCACAACACCACGTGACTCCTTTGTCCCCATTCGCTATTGTTCTCCATTGTTATTGTCCTGTGACTATTGTTCTCCGAGTAGTCAGCGACCGTGTACTTTAGTATATAAGGACAGGTCTTGCACTGGGCACCCCAGTTTGACCTCTTGTACCAATCAAGCGTTCTCACTCCCTAGACCCCTAGTGACCTCGAACCCCCAGACCCCCAGTGAACCAGTGTGCTAAGCTTGTCATCAGTCTGCGTCCTTGTTGTGCATAACCTGCACACGACCCCTTGAGTGCTGACACGCTTCGCCGTAACAGATAGTTTGCATGAGGGCAACAGTCACTGCACGAGATCATATCAAACGGGCCCTTGCCAATGATTACATCACTTGTGATGCTGTGGGTGGCCAGCCTCGAGTTGCTCCTAAGTGCTTGAGAGTCAGACATGCATATGGCTGATGAAGCATGTCGAGAACACATTGAAGCTACTGCACTGACTCAGGCATGATCATGTATATGCGACTGCACCTTTACTATGGTACCTCCTGTTTAGATCAGGGTACAAGATCCCCTGGGGGGCCAATGGGCACTCAAATACAGACATGGAAGTACCGCACGCATATCCATACTTCAAAACATTGTGGATTTACCTGGGTACGCGTGTGGTCAACCAACGGGGCCGTGATGCGCTGTCATGGAGTAGTCCCTGTGACCGTGATATGGCCTGTTTAGGCAGGTCGGGTAGTGTAGACGCCAGAGAGAAAAAAATCCGCGCGTTCACGGACTTATGCAAGGCGCTGTAACTTAGGCACAAATAAATCTCTGATGATCGAGGAAGCACCGCAAGAGTGGTGGATGAGTGCTTTTTTTTACAACTGCATTGTCCCTGACTTGTAGCAGGTGACAGAGTGGCGCCCATTCCAAGACTTGAAGTCTTTAGGGCTTCGAAGACCAAGTATCCGAAGCATCAGAACTCTCGTAAGTGTCTCAATCATTCAATTTTCAGGTCAATTCGCTGACGTGGACTGGCTGCTATGCGCGGAGACGATACGCATCAGATGGTTCGAAGTCAGCCCCAAGCGGCCATGAGCGTAGTCCGTAAGTTGCGGTACGGTATCATTGGCTTCGACGGGCATTCTCCGCCATTGTCTAGACGTCTTGCGCGGTGACGGTAGTCTCTCGCAATGTTGATACAGTGCATGTGACATGAGTAGATATTGGTAAGTGAGAGTAAAGAAGGAAGCCGGCGAATGGGGTATAGGGCTATAATAAGTCTAGTGTACGGCTGCAGATGTTCGACAGTAGGGCTACATGGGTCTGGATGACTATGTCCTGTTATCTTGTCAGCATTGCACGCGAAGAGTGTGCACAGCGGATACCTACTCGTTCAGCTAAGCCATTCCACCTCTAGAGGAGTTGTCACAGGAAGAGTGGCTGACGCTGACGCTATGTCGCCATCAGTTGATTACTGTTGTAGGAGCAATGACGATACGCACTAGTAGTAGTGACTGTGGACGTTGCATTGTCCCCTTGAGCAGGGGCGGTAGTCGCCAACATCGGCGCTGGGGCAGCCATGACAGGCGCAAGAGCGGCAGAGACAAATGAGGCGAGGAGAATTGCAGAGATGCGGGCCATAGTTATGTCGTGGAATGAGTATGATACTGGACGCGGAAGAGCAGTCAGTAGTAGGGAAGAGGAGCTGAGTTGGGGTTCTACCGGACCCCATTCCGTCATTTATATCGCTTTGTGGACGGGGAACAAAGGATTTCCTGCAGTGATAGTAGAATTGTTGGTGAGTGAATCTCGAATGTCTGCACACTAGGTCCGCATAGCTGTACGAGGTCCCGTCGCGATCCCCGTTTCATAGCTGCGCCCTCGCGTTCTCCCGCCATCATCAAGCCGCCGGGAAGTGCACGGAGGAGTTGTCCTACACATATGTAAATGCACAGCTTGTTCCTGGGAGACAAACAGGCGGAACCGCGGAGGTGAGCCCGCCAAACGTCCTGGAGCTGGATGATAATGCGCGTAACGAAGTGGCCTGGACGTGACACGTAGGAGCCACGAGTCTAGTTGCTTTGTGATTGATCTGAACCTTGATTATGTATACCTGTTACATCATGAGTTGAAGAACCGGCATAACCGTCGCCACAGGGATCAAAAACTTTTCAGTGAGGCACCTACCGTCCTTGGGCGCGGGACATGAGACGAGACCTCTGCGCGTCTCGTTACCAGCGTCTGGCACCTGGTGCGTTCCCGCAGGTTTGATACGATTACGTCAATACCTGAGCAGACTGATGCGTCAGGCTGGGCAATGGAGATGAGGGCAGTGCGTACGGGATGTGTGAGAGTGATCTCAGACCCTTGCAAACGTCTGACTTTTCGGCTCCGAGGCAGATCGCATGTGCACTACTCAACGCAGAGTTTACCATCACATGACTGGGAACGTAGTACAAGAACCATTGTGGCTTGCTATGGCATGTGTCACCATACCGTTTCGAAACGATACCCGCTATCAAGGATTGACAATGATCTGTCTCTGTTGAGGTGACATACTTTATCGGAAAGAGATCAGATGAATATCACCCTACATGCCTTCTGCCAACGGACGGACCACCACAACGCCGCATCTGTTCTCGTGCGGACAGCGGTGGACGGCGGCGGTCGTGTGAGCGGACGGATAGATCAGGAATCCGACTTCGCATTGTACCGGGAATGTTTGCCAACAAGCAGAGCGCGGACGTGATCCGACGTACTGGAAAGAATGAGCAGGAGATCAGTTCCATGAAGCGCTCAGCGACACAGGTCAGTCAAGCACTACGAAGGCGTCACCCTGATACGGACCTAGGGCACTACATTCGCTGCAACAAAGGGTGAATGGGGCAGTGCTTCCCACTGCCCCCTCCCTTGTGCCTCCCGCCCTCGTCCCTCAGGCCGTTCGGGGTGATAAGCACTGTAGCGCGGTGTTTATCGAGATCGGAACCCGAACTCTCATTCAGGAAGAAATCGGGGAAGTCGCAACGCTACAGGCTGTACTGGCTTGCTGCTGAGTGGCGTCGGATAGAAGGACCAGCAAGGTTGCATTAGGCGTGTGGCTGCATTCCAGTTGCGGAGCATTGTGCTGACCGTGTCTTCGCTTTCACCGAGGCTGTCACCCGGTATTTTCCTCCGGGTCTGCGTATCCAGCGTTCATGAAGACGGCGTAGGACATGAAAACAGCGCTAGGTGAAGTCCTGACCGCCCAAACGATGCAGTACTCCGAAACAGACGGTGCTACAAGATAGCCCAAAGGTGACATATCGCGCAGAAGAAAGCGGAAACTGAAAACTCACATCAATTGGACCTGTGTCAGAACGGCATTGACCTCGCCAAAACGCTGTTGGTCGACGCTGATCGTCACAACATAGTCGTCGACGCCGCTTGGGTCTGCCCTGAAGTTGATTGATTTCTCTAGGCGAACGTACGCGTCGAGCTTTGACTTCCTATGGCTTCGCGGTGCCTTGAGCCCCTGAGGCAGGTACAGAGAAGCCGGCGGAAGGCCCAAACGAGCCTCTCAATGACGGCCGACACATCTACAAGGGGGCGGTGACAGGCGTCAGAGCGATGATGGCTTCAAGTCAGGTCAAGGCCGACGCATGTACCAGACTGACTGACAATGGCGGTACGCTGCGGAGATCTGTACCTCCAGTGCAAGGCGAGAGAGAGAAACACGAAGTACAGACCTAGTGCTCCGTAGAAGGCCAGCACAAAAATCGCCGCATGATGACGCGTCGAATTTCCGCGGAAGAGGTTCTCCCTCATTTGCGCCATAAATGTCGAACACCTGTATGGAGTTGAAATGTCGTTGTGAGTCCATGTGCATGCGCCGGGTACTGCGGGAACATCTCAGGTGATACTTCAGGCAGAAGAAGCATTTCATCTGTTATGCAAGACGTAGATCGTGAAACGTACGACGCGTAGCAAGCGCGAGACTTTGCACCTTGGACTCGTTCTGTAGTGGTTTTGGGTTGTGGTGGTTGAGAAAACGCCCCGGGAGTTGTTGAAGTCAAGATTGACTATAGGATGAACATTAGACGTTGACTACAGAGCTCTGCCGGCGACACTCCATCACAGTGGGCAAACATGAGCGTGAGAAATTGCACCGGCGATCCCCGCCATTGGAGCCACGGACGCTTGATCGATATGTTCCAGGCGGCCGCGGCCGCCAGCCACTTTTCCATGTCAGTGACGTATCGCGGGACTACGGCTCCTTCGTTACAACGCAACTCAAACAACTATTTCAGCCTTGCCCAACTCATCCTCACCTCCATGAACAGAGGTAATCGTGACCGCAGATTCACCTGGTATCTAATCGAAGCCTGAAGTTACTGCAGCCCTCTAGCGTTCCTTGAGTACGTTTCAAGATCATGTCAGGAAACAGAAGATGACCCTGAAATTCATAGAATCCAGCATTTTGGCTAGATGGTACCTCGAGTAACGTTTTTAGATTGCAGCAAAACGGTCCGCGGAAGGCACAGTCGCTATCTTGGGGAATTAAGCAGGTCGTCTTCCGAAGCCGCACCTCGCAGCTGACTCTCCAGTGGGAACTGCTGACCTTTGGGTTCACCGTGCCTATCCCTTATGAGATGGCGACCAGGTTCCCATGCCCTATCCTTATAAATGATACGCCGTAACTCCAGTAGACGGCCCTCTGCTTCTAGTGTCCCATTCCCCGAACACCAATTGGACGAGAAATACTACACTATGACCAGCACTCAGTCCACGGGAAGTCGACTCGGCGTGCTTCACGATACCGGGATACCTCCGGGCAGTGAAGACTATACGACTCTGGTTGTTCTGCATGGTCACAACTGGCATAGTGGTGAGTCCATTAGATAGTTGCTCCATCTCCCAGATTTGTAGGCTATACAACTAGTGTTGACGGGAATCTGGCGGAAACGTCCATCCACGTATCCAGGCACTTTCTCCAAGGTGATACCGCTCGCGAGCATCAATAACACGCGCCTCATCCTTGTCAATCGACGCGGCTATCCTGGAAGCACGCCATTCACGGACGAGGAACTCGCGACAATTCCGAAGCTGACGCCGGACGCGAATGAAGACACGCTAGAAGACGCCAGGGAGGAGTTGGGGCTATTCATGCGAGACCGGGCGCGCGAAGTGTACGACTTGCTAGAGGATATAGTGCGACAGGACAACATACCGCCGGCTCAACCTGAGAAGAACACGGGGGGCATCATCCTCGCTGGGTGGTCCTTCGGGGCGTTGTGGATGAACGCGCTCATGGCGTACGTGTCGTCCTTCCCCGTCAATGACGTGGAGCTGTCGAAGTACGTGAGACGCGTTGTCATATTCGGTAAGTGTTTCTCTCCGCCGGCCATCTATTCGTGCAGGAGCACCTCACGAGTTGTACAGATACCGGAAACCTTGTCATGGGCTATCCGGGACGAAGTGATATGTACGAACGCGGCTTCGACCCTGCGCTTTCCGAGGCAGAGCGCAAGGCGGCATATAACGTCTGGGAAAGGGCGCGCCGAATTAGCAGCTACTACTCCCACGGAGAGACGCTGGACAGTCTCTCCGATGAGCCCCTGAAACATCCTCCATCGACCGTCAGCACTCTCAGCGCGGAGGAACGCGCGAACCTGACGCACATCCCCGGAGGTGTCGTGGACTCGGCCATCGCGCTCCCTGGTATTCAGTCCGGGCTTTTCGATAGCCTGCGACAACGCGCCATATCCCTTCCAAGTCGCCAAGACAACAAGGAGAATGGAGACGATGCAGAATCGAGCGGGGACGACTGGCGCGACATCGAATTGCGCGTAGTTTGGTGCCAGATGTCACATGCAGAAGTCTCCTACGTGACGCTGCTTCTCATCGCGGAGCTAGAGGACGCAAAGAAGAAGGGAATTCCTGTACGAAACGTAAGAGTCGTTCGAGTAAAGGGCGCTAATCATTTCGTGAGTACTTTACTTAAGACCATACTCTTCGGAGCTCATTTCCGTACCTCATCCAGATACATTGGGACCAACCCGAGATGGCGATGCGCGCACTGCTGGGAGATGAAGATGTCATCTGAGGTCGGTTCTATCCGTCGAGTTACTTGTGAACAATACTGCTGCAACGTACAGAGGAGAAGGATGTAAGACCTACTGCTGGAGATATACATGAAGTGCCTTGTGACCCGGAGGGTATTCACTTCCAGTTTGGTTAGGACGAAGCCTGTCGTGTTCTTTCAGTTGCGAGGAGAGCTGGTCGCGGTGTAGGGCTGCTGCAAAATTGAGCCAATAAGATTGGCTATTCATGGAAACCTCCCCAAGGTGCCAGTGGATCATCTACGAATTATGCATACAAATGGCTTCCATTCCGCAACCTTACCAATCGCGGTCACACACAACGTCGCGTGTGAATGCTCGGTCTGTGGAGGACGAATAGTACTAGTATACTACACGCTCATGTTGTATGTCGTTGGTGCTCGAGCCTTCCTACAGTCCCCGAGGACGACGCGGAGCTCACTGGCACAGTATTAGATAAGAGCGCGGGCCGGCACTCCGTAGGCCGCGCCCAGCGAGCTCTTCTCACAGCGCTGATCCGCCCGAGACCGACACGTATGAATCGGTTCCCTCGTACTTGTACGTTTGTTCGTCTCAATCTCCCACGTCGTCCCTAATTTTTATCACCAAGTCCCATAGGAAGTATATTGGTGCCTCAACGTAGGAGACATCGAGTCCGCATCAGAGGGTCGTTGCTTCTCAAGCGCATTCTCATCAGGCTTCGTGAATCACTTTCAGAATATCGAGGAGCTATCGGCGATGTGTCACCCTTCCTTCCTCTTGGCTAATTAATGGAACCCCGGCTCATTCATGGGACGGTCCGTTCGACATGTCATTACAATCAGCGCAGGGTATCGCGCGACCTTTGACATCAGCAATATGCTTGCTTGCGTTTCAAGTTCCACTGTTCACCGACACGTCCTCGGTGAGCACTTGAGCCCATCAGAATGTCGAGTGTGGCTGACCGCGCTGCTTTAAGGATAGGAGATGTTACGTCACGGCATATTCACAGAGCTCTAGACGGCGGAGGAGTCCGGACGAGATAATTCATGGCTTCGATGGCAACCGTGGCGTCTTCTAGAGCGCTTCTACGGGCTTGTCCCCGACCCCGCCTAATATTCCAGAGGAAGAAGCCGCCTCGAACATGAAATGCCGCGATCGGCGCAGAAGGTGCGGCAGAGAGTTCGGTATTTCCTCAGCAGGGCGGGGCCGCTGGCTCGGAGTGGAGCGCGGAGGAGGTCTTTAATGGACGGGGCGACCGATCCCCACTTTATCTCTTTTCTAACTGCCCCCTCTGGTGGCGCCTCTATGCCCTTGGACTCCTCCCCAGTTCACATCGTCAATATGGAGCTGCTGAGGGATGCCAATCTCTTCTCCGCCTTCGTCCAGGCGATGTTCTATGGTGAGTTTACCAGCGAGGATGAGAACTACACGTCGTAAATTCAATATATCGCCTCCAGGTTTCTCCGTCTTGATGTTCATTCTGACCATGTGGATCCTCCTTGGAAACCGTCGTAAACGCCGGCCCAATATCATGATGGTCGGGGCGTCGTGCGCCCTTATGCTTCTTTCTACAGCGGTGGGTTTCCGTGCAGCTTTGCCTACCTTTGTAAGATTGACCTGAGTTCTAGGAGATGGCGTTGAACGTGATTCGCGTCTACCAGGGCTTCGTCGCCATGGGACCTTCCCTTCCTGGCGGGCCAGAGCAATATTTTGAGAATATCTCCCTCCCTACGTTCGTTGCCAAGAGCTGTTTGATCAGCGCTCAAAGTCTCATACTCGACATCGTCGTCGTGAGTGATATCTCCCACGTCTGCGCTGAACTCTTCAGTAAGCTCATCTTGAACTCACAGATATTCAGGGCGTACGTGGTGTGGCAGAGCTTACCCGTCGTAATTCTACCGATACTCTCATGGATCGGTCTCCTCGGTGGGTGTGGTCTCGTTGTCGCTTCGTTGGAAGTTACGCATTAACGAGGTTATTCTCTAGTGGTATCTATAGGCACCAACGTTTCACTAGCTGGAATGCATCCTTCGGGAGGCCTATCATTACAGGATAATCCATGGATCACGTCGATGTTCACCCTATACCTAGCCACAAACCTATCTGCCACCGGTAATCTCCTTTCATGATCGACTTCTGCTTGTATACTGATATTCTAGCTAGCACTACTCGCCTACAAGATTTGGACGGTCACGCGAGGGACATCTCAGTACCGGTCCAGCGAAGGCCTCGCTCCCGTCCTCCGCGTCGCTCTCGAGAGCGGTGCCATTTACACTATCACGATGTCCGCTGGATTGATACTATTCCTGCTGCAATCCCAGCTTGTGTACGCACTTATCGACATCGTGCGTATCTTCGCATGTTCTCCGTCCCTTACCTGCTGATATCAACCTGGCTGAATCGAACTCGTTGCACCAATTTACAATAGTCTTCGCCCATCATTTCAATCGTTATGAACATGATCATCGTCCGGGTCGGGCTCGCAGCGGAACGGAAGAAGCATTTGCGCGCTGTACCTCGGCAGTCGAGCAGCGGCTTCAGCTTCGTCGCTGTGACCATACCGAAGCCGCATCCAGGTTACCTCCGCGAACGTCCGGATTCGGAGATGGCCCTTGGCGTGCCATCGGATCGGGTGGACGACGACGTGGAAATGGGAAACGTCGTGATGAAGATGGAGCGACTGTTGCAGGATGGTGGACCGTCGACACCGTATTCGGAGAGTGAGACGACCGATGACGCGAAGTCTGTGGTGGATGTCGACGATCCGGAGGACGTGAAGAGCGTAGATCTTGCGTTGACCAGCGCGCGCTCGAGCGCCTTCCACGTCATCACGGAACGCGACCTAGATTGACCTATTGAACCAAACAATTCAGCGACGAGTATCGAGTGCCCGTTGTTTTTCTTTCCCAGGAAGGCCTAGTGGACTTCATGTCATGGACTTGTACAATGCGTCATGGTGTGTAGTATGTTGTATCTCCTACGTCTTTTGTTCTACCACGGGTTCCATGTGTACTACGATGAAGTATGAAAGTAGGGCAGGACATCGTATAAGCAACCTGTCGCGAATGGAATTTTGTACCAGCAGTTGTACGTGCAGTCTAAACTAACTATGAAGACATACCATACCAGTGTACTTGGCCAGAGCCCAGGTCTGCCCCCGCATGCATGGCTACAATCACACCTCCCAAGGTACCGACATACTCGGAACCCCTGGTGAAGTAGGCGTGCCAAATTCATGTCAGCTCCTCATTTCGCTGTGCGCTCAGTGAGGATACCGTTACTGGGGAGATACTATGTACCAGTATGTCCTTCTGACTAACTCAAACACCACCACAAACCAGTAATGAGTCACTCTAGTATATATCTTTATGCAAAGGTTGAGCAAAATCGAGGCGACCGGAGATACGAAGAGCGGTTTTCCGGGAGCGGCCCTTCCTACTAGCAGCCGTTTATAGACGCCCCTCAAGCGCCTGGCGTGAGGAGAAGTCGGAGCTTGAGCACGCCTACATAGTCCCGAACGTCCGTCTCAGCAAGCAACTGATAAGCAATATCTGGTGATGCTGCGCTGCGAGTGATAAATCCTGGGGCGAATGCAGACAGGCTTCAAGTTGCAATTAAACAAAGTTTAGAATACCGAAGAATCGGGATTTAGCTCCACATCGGTGATTGAGGACTTGTCATCAAAGGGTCACCGCAGTATAAATTGCAGACGTTAGACGAAGAAACAACACACTTGTGCTACAAACGGCACTTAACTTCCACATCAACATCGACCTCCCGCCATGAGCGATACTCTCCCCCTCGGCATCATTGCCGATTCTGGTGCTCCCGAAGGGAGTACAGACTACACTACGGTAGTACTATTTCATGGATTCGCTTGGACGAGCGGTGAGTGAAATGTTGTGGTTCACGGATGCATATGTCATCGGCTGAACGCTTTGGAACTTGCAGATGGTTTCCGTAAGATGCTCCCATTCGCGAAGGCGAAAAATGCTCGCATATTCCTTGTCAACAGGCGCGACTATCCGGGCACGACGCCCTACTCCATCGAAGAGCGTGCCGAGGTCTTCGCGGCTGCAGTACAGGGTAAGACCGACGCGGAGGAGGCGCGAAAGATACTACTCCCATGGATGAAGGAACGCGGGCGGGAGGTCCATGATCTCCTCGTCCATATCGTCTCCCAGCACAAAATCCCTGTCGCCCGCCCGGAGAATAATGCGGGGGGGATTGTCGTAGCAGGATGGTCGTTCGGCACCACTCTCATGTCTGCGCTCCTGGCCAACGTCGATTCCTTCCCTCAGGGCGATGTCGATTTGAGGAAATATCTCCGCAGAGTCGTCTTCCTTGGTGCGTTCGCGATGTCGTGTCCTTCATCTTGACAGGCTGGCTGACCCTCTTCCGGACACGAATACAGATCCCCCTGATATTGCGCTCGGCATACCACCGCTCCCAGAAGTCGCGTCCGCGAACAACGAGACCCCTATAGCGCTAGAGCGTCTCGTCCGCGAGCTCTCTATCTTCTACAGCGCGTACTTCAAGCATGGGGACGTCGACAAACCCGAGACGTACGAGCGCAGCACGCCGCTTGCCGACCCGAAACCAACATGGTATAGCTTCACCCCAGACGAGCTCGAGGCGATCTTCCACCCTGTGCCAGGGGACTCACGGGGCGGCTCGGATGCCACGCTCATGGCTGCAGCTATCCCTTGTGGGGTATTCGGGGTGCTTCGTGAGCAGGCTCTGCGCAAGGGCGAGGGTAGCGGGTGGGAGGCCGTTGAGCTTCGGCAAGTTTGGGCTGATTATTCGATCGCGCCTATGGTTTGGTGTGCACGCGAGTTGCGGGCGGAGGTCGACAAGCAGACAAAGGCTGGTGCGAAGCTTAGGAACGTAAGCTTTGTCCGAGTGGAGGGAGCGAACCATGTCGTGAGTACTGGCGGAGCAATTCCTGCATTTCGATGTGAGTGGAGTACGATGGCTGATTGATCGACAGCTGGTGTGGGACTTCCCTACCCAAACGCTGGAAGCGCTATTGCAGGCATAGGGGGAAGTCGCGTGATGATAGACCATAGACGGATAGGCACGGGTGTTACGGACGATGCTAAGTTATGGAAATGCCAAACATAGTACTGCAGCAGTGCTCGAGTCCCCCAGGCCGAGCCACGTTTGGACGCAGCTGACTGCGAAATCTGGCGTTGTCTGACCGATCGAGAGATTGCGCAAAGATCCGGCTGGACTCCATCATCCTTGGGATAGGGTTCAGTTCCTCTTGGACCTCAAGTACGACAACGCTACCGTCGCCCGGCGCATATCAAACTAGCTTCCGCCGGACAAGTCGCAGTAAATCGATGACATTCATATGAAACATCACCGGCAGACATCACCGGTTCCGCCTGCACATTGTGACGGACTCTGGGGTGCCAGAGCAGAGTGCGGACTACACAACAGTCGTCCTCTTCCACGGGTATGCGTGGACTAGCGGTGAGCGTGTGCAGCCTCAAGGGATTCAGACTACTGATCCCTACTCAGACCCTTTCCAAAGGATGGTCCCGTTCGCGAAAGCACATAACGCTCGCATCATACTCGCCAACAGGCGCGACTACGCTGGCACGACGCCTTACTCCGTCGAAGAGCGTGCCGAGGGCCTCGCTGCCGCGATCGAAGGCAACACTGACCCTGAGGGGGCGCGGACGAAGCTGCTAGCTTGGATGAAGGAGCGCGGGCGTGAGGTCTATGACTTGCTCATTCACATCATCATTCAGCACAAGATACCGCTTGCTCGCCCCGGGGCAAATACAGGCGGTATCATAGTGGGAGGACTGTCCTTTGGCACGACTCTCATGACCGCGCTCATCGCTGACGTCACATCGTTCCCGGCCAACGACGTCGACCTGCGGAAGTACCTGCGCAGGGTCGTCTTGCTCGGTTCGTCCGCTACTTGCACGCCCGCAGGAATATAAATTGAGACTCACCTGCGCACACGACAGACCCGCCCGACATCGGGATGGGTTTCGCGCCCCTCCCTGAAGTCATGGCACTGATCAATGAGAACTCCATCCGGCCCGAACGCTTCGCCCTCCAGGGCTCGATCCTATACAGCGCGTACTGGAAGCACGGCGACGTCGACAAGCCAGAGACCTACGAGCTGCGCACCCCGCTCGCGGATCCGCCCATGTCGTATCACAACTTCACCCCTGAAGAGCGCGAGAGGATGTTCGATCCTGTGCCAGGGGACCCGCGCGGGGGCTCGGACTTCATGCTCATGACTGCGGCGGCCCCGCTCTGGGTGTTCTTGGCGAATCGCGAGCAGTCCCTGCGAGCATCTTCTGGGGACGCTGCTTGGGACAGGATTGAGTTGCGGCATGTTTGGGCTGACCATTCGATAGTGTCTATGGTGTGGTGTGCTCGTGAGATGCGGGCGGAGGTCGAGAGGCAGAGGAAAGCTGGCGCACCGCTGAGGAACGTGAGCTTTGTCCGAGTTGAGGGCGCGAACCATTTCGTGAGTGCCTAAGTTGGGTTTTCTAGGGGCCAATAAGCTCATTGAATGACTGTTAGTGTGGGACCTGCCTGAACGATTATTGGAGGCGCTTCTCTGCACGCAGTAGAGAGAAATGGGAAATGTCAAAAAACACCGGGACGAACGAATACAGTGTCTCAGTATTCGGATGCGTGGGCGAAGCGTTTGTGGACGACGTCTCGGGCAGCGGCATAGCACTTCAGACTGCAGCAGAGAACACACACCATGTAGCATAAAGATTCAGGCTCTTGGCATAGTATGTGATTGTGAGCATAAGCAAAGGGCCAGAGGGCCACGAAGAGAGGGTAAGACAGGCGATGACCGACGCCCTGGGGAACTTCTCGCCAGCGCCTCATTCCAGGCGCTTGTCTTTCCTAACTAAGGTTTTCAGCGTCTTTCCGTGTTTGACTTACGATTACGAGCCGCGTCTCAACAGCTCAAGTACCCCAAGGTGATCCTCATGCCCGGAGTAACGCTCGAGTGTTAGTGGTTGGAGAGTGCTCAGCTGGAGCGTGCCTTGGTCCGTCTACTCTGCCCTCGTATACTGTGCTACCGGCCACTGACTCGCTCTCAAGAAAGATCCACAAAGGATGCTAACGCGACTCTCCGTGCGTTCCGAGTTCGGGCTTGTCGTCATCTCTTCATGAGGCTCATCAACATTTTGCTGTAGAGTCGATTTTGCTTGGACGCGGAATCAGGAGCTGGCGCCATACCCGGCTTGGATGTGTCGGGCGTGTTCTGCTGGACTCTTAAAACGCGGAGACAGACTCTGACATGGACACCAACGACATCACCGCAGACGCGCATCGACCCCCAATCTTCTCTGGCTCATACACAGCTCATCACACAACTCGCCCCGAGCAGAGCCCGAGCAAATCCCCGAACCCGTCGCGAACCATCCGAAGCTACGCTCAGCGGAGCGGTATTTGCACGACCTCGACCTCAAGGCGTCCGCACAGGGGATCAAAAACGGAAAATCAACGCTGGAGAGTTTCTTCACCACGCTGTATTGGCTCCGCACGCTCCTCCCTCCAACTTTTGCACTTGAAGTCGGCAAGACTCCAAACGTGGACGCGGTCGAGGCCATTCCGCTGAGAGGGGCGCACGCGGCCTTTACATCCCGCTTTATCTGATGACTCGGAAAACATCCGATGTGTCCAACTGATGCAATGGATCGTCTTTGGTCACACGTTGTACAGAGTGCAAGTTCACGAACCTCCGCTGTGCCCACCTCCCCCAACATTTGTTAGCATACCCCTGTCAACTCGTCGCACCTACGATGCTGATATCTGCCTTATTTTTTTCAGCAGCCTCTGCACACGCTATCGTTACACTATATGTCTGCTTCGTGTACACCGAAATCGAGATTCCGGTTCCCTCGGGGCCGAGATTCTCGGACCACTCAACAACAGGCTCCAGCACTCCCCTTCCCCCCCTGTCCCTTGTACCAATTCTGATTCAATCCGATGTTCGCGAATCAAGACATTGCTACGATTACTAAAACATGCATCTCAAAGTCCGTCCGGCGCGCACTGCGGGCGAATGCGCCCATGCAAGTGCTAGAGCTGTCGGTTGCCCGCCGCTTGCTTCATCCACCTTGGCAGGCCGCGGTGGCCCAAGTCAGCACCATTATCTCGTGAGTATTAGTCAGTACTCTGATCTCCGAGAACGCGGGATGATGTGCTGGGACCCAGGCTGTCAGGGCTTGCACCCCGCCATATAAAGAGGGCCAGGTTACTCGCATAGGTTCCCCCATCACTCTGCCCTACATCGCACCTTCCTCACAGCTGTCCTACATCTCTCTCAAATAGATCGATTCAGCAATGTCTGTCCCCTCTCACCAGAAGGCTCTGTTCCTTGAGGTGAAGCAAGGCCAGTGGGCTGTCAGGACGACGGAGGTTCGCAAACCTGGTTCGGGCGACATCGTCGTGAAAGTCGAAGCCGCCGCCCTCGGCGGTGTTGAGTGGAAGATTCAAGCGTGGGGCATCCTCATCAAGGATTATCCCGCCATTCTCGGCATGGATGGTGCCGGCACGGTCGTCGAGCTCGGAGAAGGCGTCACGACGTTCGCAGTCGGTGATCGAGTGTGCGTCGCCGTCCCGCCAATAGCGCATGCACTGCTAATGCGAACGCGGATTCTCGCGATTCTCGCCAGTATGTTCCAAGGAAACTGGGACATTTTGACAGGCACGATATACGGTACCTTCCTACAGTACTTCACGGCCCCTGCTCAATTCGTCGCAAAGGTGAGTGGCCGCTTGTTCGGAGTAAAACTTGTAAGGAATCTCGCTGAGATAGGTGTATCTCCCGGATACCCGATAGCATCTCGTTCGAAGCTGCTTCCACAATGCCTACCGGCGTCGCCACCGCGACCCTGTCTGTCTACAACCAGGCCGACTACGCGCTTTCCGCCAAGTATTTCGCCCCTTGGCTACCTGGAGGCCGGGGCAAGTACGCAGGGAAGCCGATCGTCATCCTCGGCGGGCCGACTTCTCACGGCCAATACGGTTCGCACTCTGCTCTTGAATGTACCCATAGAGGCTGACCGGCCACGAACCATCCCAGCCACACAATTTGCCCACCTCTCCGGGTTCTCCCCCATCATCACCACCGCCTCCCTGCACAACGCCGACCTCCTGAAGTCCTTCGGTGCCACCCACGTCCTTGACCGCAAGCTCCCCGCTGAAGAGATCAGAGCGCGCGTGAGCGAGATCGCCGGCGGGCCCGTTGGGCTTGTGTATGACACCGTCTCTGTGTCCGCCACGTTCCCTCTTGCGGTTGCGCTGGCCGCGCCCGGGAGCACCGTGCTCACCGTCCAGTGGGCGCCGGAGGAGCTCGTCGCACAGGCCATGAAGGACGGCAAAGCAGTGCACATGGTGCTTGGTTTCTACAACGCCCCCGTCAACCGCGAGATTGGCGCGACGCTGTTGGCGAGTCTGCCGGAGCTGCTGGAGAGCGGCGACATCAAGGTAGGCGAGCGGCTCGAATTTGGCGTGTGCAAGTGAGTCATGCTTGAGCTGAATGGGGGAATTGCATAGCCGAACCATTGGGAGGTGCTCGCGGGGGGGGGGGGGGGTTGGGTGGCATCGTGGGTGGGCTGGAGCGCATGAAGAACGACCAAGTCAGCGGGGTGAAGCTCGTCGTGCGTCCGCACGAGACTGTGTGAGTACGAAATGGCGCCGTTCATCTGGATGGCGGAGGTCGAGTAGGACGGTGGGTGACTCGTAGTACTACCAGGACTGTGTTGCGGTTCAAAGTAGCAATTGCGCAAATCAAACCACAGGCAGTGAGAGTACCACTATCCTCCGCTTCTCGCACAGCAGTCGTTTGTTCGCCGATATTGTGAGATGAACCTCATCTACAGAAAGATTGGCACAGGATTAGTGAGCCTACGCTCAAGCCGTCTCGTAACCTAGTGGGATGCCCTTGATCTTGAGGACAGCATCCTGGGTGGGCAGGCGTAAGCGGAAAGCAGAGGAGGTGTAGAGGCATAGCCTAAGCCTAAGCAGGACTCGCGGCCTCGCGGAGTACGGTGTCGATGGGGAAGAGGATTAAGAACGGACCCAAGATTCGTTGTTTATGCAGAGTCCCTACCTGAAGCTGACAATGGGATTCAGGCGGTGAGAGGCGGTGGATGTTGCATATGAATGGTCCCTGCTGGTGTGTCCTACATGTTGATTCCCTAACTCATGGATGACTAAGAGACCCTTTTCTGAAGTGGTCATTGTAAACTCTTGCGCATTCTCGTAGGATGTCGGAGTGACTGTTCCAAGGAAATATGTTCGGCTGATCAAGGAACATGCTGGACGAAGGAGCTAAGTTCATGGTAGTCGTAGAGCGGTGGGAGCCAGGTACTTATAGGGCCGAGGCTATGTCCATGCATTCCAAGGCTATCCCGGGGTAGAGCGATCTACAACGAGTATGCCAAAGGCATGACAATTGCATTTTCTCAACAAGACTTGAAGAGGAATTGACCTGTAGCTAGCGTAGAATCGTGAGCCTATCTGAATTGGAGAACAGGCTATCTACGGGCAGCAGTTTGCTTCCTGTCCGACAATCAGACATTGTACTCCTGCTTCGGCTGTGTCCTAGGAACTTCGCGACAGCAACCGAGTCAAGAAATTGAACATCCCCCTCCCCCTGCTCCGAGTCGTTGGTGCTCTCTGATCAACCACCCTGCGAAACAGGACTGTCAATTACAACAGCTCCTCAGTGCACGCTAGGCCGAGGTGTCTTACCGAAATGCATCCTCCAAGGACAATGGGTACCTGCCCAGAAGGTCAAGACGTAGAACTAGATGAAGACATGTGATTACTCACATCACACGTACGTCCACATATTCCTGCATGCGCTCCTTGAAGTCCTCTCCAACAAGATTGGTGCGAAAACAATCCAAGAAGCAGACCTGCTCGAGCCGTCGGCCTACGGATTCCCGACGCTGCAATGCACGGAGAAAGGCCTCTTCCGTAATTCGATCAAGCACCAGGTTCGCGAAGAAAAGCCCACGCAGGAGCGGGCACTGTGCTGTTCCCGTAGCTGTCGACACGGTAGATATAGCTTCGAACATAGCTGTTGGGAATGTTGCGGACCCCTGCGTGTCTACAAAACCCCCGAGTACGCATAGCACCTGCAACGTCGGCATCCGCGACAGGGAGTCGCTCCACATGTCCACAGTGATCTCGTGCAGCCTATCGTAGGCGAAGGTGAACTCGGTGATGGCTACGGTTGACAGCATGCGCATGAAGTCTTCCCATACCGGCGTGATAGTCGAAGTACCTAAAATGGGGAAATGGGTGATGCTGACGCGCGGTTGACCATCTGAGCCGCTCATTTTGAACTCCCACTTGTGGCAGCGGAAGTCCAGGGAGATGCCCGTGCAAGCAGAGATGACAGAGCGAAAGACGGTCTGCTTGGGAAGTACAATAGACATCATGCTCTCCACACCCGGAGGAAAGGGCCGACCAGCCGAACGGTCGAAAACGTCTATGATACATGTTGGCGGAACACGAATCCGGTCGCAGACGTGGACGATGTCTGCTAGCTTTCCCTGGATCAAGAGGAACCGGAGTGACGGCATGTCCACCGAAGGGATGAGACTATGGAGTCGATCTGTGATCAGAGTGGTATCGGGACGAAGAACGACTGCAAGTGTTTCGAGGTGAGGACAGTCTAACAAGATAGAGAGTAGATCAACAGCGTTGGGATGCGGGAAGACATCCTTGATACTCAGGGACCGCAAGGAGCGGCACTCCGAGAGGTTGGGACTAGTGGGAAGGAGGAGGTTCGTGAGTTCCAGTACGCGAAGCTTTTGCAGCTGTGAGGTAGGGAGCTGTAGGAGCATCTCGCTCGAGGGATGCTCCGAGCTGTCGTCGTCCAACCGCAAAACCTCTAGGCTGGTCATGGAAGCAATAAACAAGGCTAGGCTTGAGACGTCGCTGAGGCCACCATCGCCGTAATAGAAGGTGAATACGAACCGGCGGATGGCAGAGACAGAGGGTAGAAGAAGGTCGCGTATGGTGTCCCAGGACTCGACGCCAGATGGCCTTAGGACGACCGAAACATCAAGCAGCGCTCCTGCAGCTCGTTCGAGGGACGCTGCTACCCACGCGAGTTTGCACCAATTCCGGTCTCCCACATCGATCCATACCGTCGTCAATAATGCGGGCGAGGTGTGTGCGATCCATCTCCAATATCGGCAGACCCAAGAGACATACGTCCAAGGGTAACTGTCCCATGCACGAGAACCGTCCTGCCGATGTTTCATCTGAACGATCTCGAAGATATATACCAGCACCTCCGCAGGAAGGTCGTTGACCGTCTGTTCGATGTTATTCATTGAGGGTCACAATCCCCGTAGACGAGACTTACTACTGGGTTTGAATTTGAGGGCTGTGGGTTATCTTCAGAGCATTGACAGTGATCTGTATCAGCACGGATGTGACTTTTCCGGTCACTGACGAATGCCTGTGTTGCGAGCTTCATCCTGATGAGTGCTGTTGGCTCCGGAACGTCGACTCGAATCAAGGTGGTGGCAGCTGCGGTGACCGCGAGCGCCTTTGAGCCTTAGGGCAGGGCACTTGTGACGAGACTGCTCGAGTGATCCTGAGCGCAGCCATTTGCGTCCACCTCTTGCTCTCTTTCCAATGACGTCTTTGTCAAGAAAGCGGAAGAGTAGGCCATACGAAGCCCAAACACACGAACAACCACCAGTGTCGCATCAGCCCGACACTGTGTTGTTCATCCAAGCGTACGAGGCGGACATCATACGCGGACCCCAAGCTACGGCAGCCGCCAAGTCGCTGGAGTTCAGAGCAGCTGGGGAGGGTGACCAACCCGGAGATGTGGGAGATGGATTGATACTGTGGGGTTCGCGAGTCGAGCTGCCGGCGTACGACGTGTCCTCGAACGAGTCAATGACCTGGTCTCAACGTTCGGACGGCGCGCCCAGCGATCGGTCTGAAGGCCGTGGTCTGTGGGTGGACAGGTACGCAGCACGCTCAAACTCTTGATCTCGAGCCGTGTTCTGCCTGTGGCTATCACTACATGAATCCTGAGATGGAGAGTTTGGATGTACGAAATGCAGTCTGCCGTTTTCTCTCTTCTCGTATACCCATCCCTGATGTTCTCCCGTACAGGTACGATGCGCGACTTCTGCTCGAATCTCTGCCCAATATATCCTCTCAGCCGGAGGCCATCTCAAGAGCCAGTTCCCCAGGAGGGTGGTCTGACCTCCCATCCGACGCTGAGGACACGTTCTTCTTTACCGCAGAAGAGACAGAGGACTACCGGCGTGACAAGCGGCGTCGCGTGATGGACCGCGATCGCGAAGCACGCCTCCGAGCCATTCGCGCAGAGGATGGGTCCGACGAGGAGAGAGACCCCAAGGAGAGCTGGGGTGGCAGCGACGAGGAGGTACGTCGTCTCTTCTGCTCGCGTTCTTCTCCTCTTCATCTTCCATCGTGTTTTCAGCCCGACGACGCGCAGCGCGAGTTAATGCGCCGCACCGCGTCCCACATTCTGTCCTCACCCAACCCCGCGCAGCTCGAGATGCGCATCCTCGCGAACCACGGGGCGGACCCGCGCTTCGCGTTCCTGCGCGGACGGTGGTCGCGTGCGTGGCAGCTGGCGAAGGGGAAGGTGCGTCTAGAGCAGGAAGAGGAGAAGAAGCGGAGGGCGGCGCAGGCGAAGACGCAGAACCTCATCGGCGGTCTTGCGGGGTATGGTGACAGCGATGAGGGGAGCGAGGCCGCAGAAGAAGAATATCAGGAGGATGTCGGGGCAGTACCGTTGGAGAGTCGTGGCACGGCAGAGGTGGCTGGGTCCTCGGAGGTGCCATCCGAAGCTGATGATGCGGTTAAGGCAGCGAGACGTGCGAGGGCGCGAGAATGGGCCGAGAAGCGGCGGGCTGCAAAGGAGGCAGCAGATGCTCGATACAGCGAGTCTTGACGGTGTGCCTCACGTGTTCATTAGTCCGTTTGATAACTGATGGAGTACTGATGGAGCAGTTTTTCACTATGTATATCGTCTACCACTGAACGAACGGCTTCCGCTACGAGCGTAATGATTATAATGCCTATGCCTCCACCTCAACTGCATCTACTCGTACGACAAGTCGATATTGCGCAACATCGGATAACAGAATCTTCGCCGGTATTGTACGACTCGAGCACCTCCCTAGTCCTGAAGACGTTCGTGCAGGCCTTCATGCGGTCATTGCTCCCGCAGTGAGATGGAAGGCCAGGCGCGAGGAAGGGAAACGGCACGGGCACAAGTTCCACGTTTGAATGGGAACGTCGTCGATACTGTCGCATAAGACCTCAAGTTGGGTGGGCCGCGTGCAGAAGAACGTGTACATGGCGAAGTCCACGCTGCGGCCTTGACGGGACAAACCTCGTCAAGTACTCCAGAACCGTCGCTCCTGACCGCGTTGTCGCCATTCCCCAAGGAAAGCACGAAGCTATCTTCCTCAGCGACGATGATAGTGTTTTGGATTTGACGAAAGGCTTGAACATGCGCTGGCTAGGGTCGAGCGCGCAAGCCGCGGCCGCGGCCCTCGTCCAGACAGACTCGGTCTGAGAGATCTTGGCATGACAAGGTGACGAGATGGAAACTATTACAGAGTAAGGTCGTCTCCAGAATCACTCCTCTCAGTCTCCGCGCTTTGATGTTCGGAAGGGAAAGAGGGGTGGCTGTCGCCTTCACGAAGCCTCCAATTGACTTGCAAGGTCCACAACATGTATGGCCCCGTTTGGCAAGCTGCGATCTTTGGTCTTGGTGCGACGAACATATTCTTGGTGACTGGCGCGACAAATCGGGCGCCACATCGCCTTCCGGGGAATGCCGACCACACTCTTCAAGTTGGCGTTGCTATAGCGGCTATAGGCTCTGCGGTCTTCCAGCAATGACCGACAAACCACCAAGTCGTAAGCAGTCTTCGGAAGATAAGAGAATGTGCTCATGATGCTTTGTAGGACGAAGATATGCCTAAGCCACACGATACTCTTGAAACAACTTCTAGCGCCTTGCGCCGCGTCCCTCCGTAGATATTCTACGGCATCTTCGAAGTGCTCAAGAACGACGAAGTCACGCTTTCATCATGTACTTGCGTCTCAAAATACTGGCGAGGCACTGGTACTGTGAGGCGCCAACTGCTGTCGTCTACATAGGCACTGTTGTAGGAGGTGACGTCATGGTGCTTTGCTGCGATCGACGTCATGGAGGGGAGGACAAGTTGCGCGTGTTTGATTGCTCGACACGCGTATTTAGACCGCCTGCGGGAGACCGACGAGTCCTCTCAACCACCGCGATGACCTCTCAAGACTTGCGATACTTGTCTCCAAAACAATGGGTAATTGCTGCCTTTAATTTCTTCTATGTCCTCGTCCAGTATGTCATAATCTGGCTGTTCAAACCTGTACGTGATCGTTCTTTCCCTGTCTCCCAAACGCTCACATCTGCGTTCGCAGCCTCCGCCTCCATCTCCGGAATACCCCAAGCATCCGAAGGGCAGGATCGCCATCATTGGCGCAGGACTGACTGGTGTCTCAAGCGCAGCGCACGCCATCGCACATGGGTTCGACGTCGTGATCTACGAGCAAAGCGACAAAGTTGGTGAGTGCGCCGATCTAATCTAGCCTCTGCATCGTCGCGTCGCGTCGTGGTCAGGAGAGTGAAGCTCTCCTCGCGCACGTGCTGTTGTGTCGTATGCCATGCTCAGCGACCTAAGTTCTCCACATAATTACTGACACATACACTTCGTAGGCGGAATATGGACCAACGTCAACAAGACCTCGGGCCTGCAGCTCAACTCCCTCTTGTACCGCTTCCACCCCGCCGTTCTCTGGTCGCGCGCGTTCCCCCACCGGGATGAGATCCTGAGCGGTGCGTCTGAACGCGTGTAGTCGCACATCCATTCCGTGACTTACTCCCAACCTGTTTGCACACGCGCTCGCGAGCAGAGATCCGCCGCATCTGGAAAGAGTACCAGCTCGAGCCCCGCACGCGCTTCAACACCCCCGTCACCTCCGTCAAGCGCGTCCCCGGCACCGGCACGCGCCTCTCAGACCCCTCCTCGGACGACGAAGGCAGGTCGAGGTGGCTCATCAACGACGGCGCGGACGGGGAGTTCGATGCTGTCGTCGTCACCGTCGGCACGTGCGGCAAGCCGAACCGCATCGGCTTCCCGGGCCTGCCCAAGGCGGAGACGCAGGACGGCGATGGTGCGGAGGAGAAGCACAAGGGCGGGGACGGGGGGGAGGTGTTCGAAGGCGACGTGTTCCACTCGAGCGAGCTGGACGACGCGCCGCTCGAGGGCAGGACGGTCGTCGTGATCGGGAGCGGGGCGAGCGGAGTCGAGGCGGTCGAGACGGCGCTCGCGAAGGGCGCGAAGCACTGTGTGATGCTCGCGCGCGAGGACAAGGTGCGCATGCGTCTCTCCTACGCTCCTCTTTCAGGAATCCCGCTGATACGTCGCGCGCGAACGCATGCAGTGGATCATCCCGCGCAACATCTTCGTCGACACGCTCATCTCGGCGCAGCCGTTCGGGCGCGAGACGCCGCTGTCGTTCATCTGGGAGAAGATCATCGTGCTGCTCAACTACCGCGGTGCGCCCGAGCTCGTCCCCGCGCGGCTCGGCATCTTCGAGAGCACGCCGGTCGTGAACGACGAGTTCGTCGGGTGGGTCAGGGAGGGCAAGTGCGACTACGTGCGCGGGGACATCGAGCGGCTCACGAAGCGCGGGGTGCGGATCAAGGTGCGGGGGAGGGAGGAGAAGCCCGGGGAGGGGAAGGAGGTGAAGGAGGTGGAGGGGGACGTCGTCGTGCTGGCGACGGGGTTCCATAAGCCGCAGATTGGCTTCCTCGAGGAGGAGTTATTCCCGGACGACTATGATGTGAGTCGTTGGATACCATCGAGTTGGGAGATGGGGATAGCCCCTGTGCTGATTTTTTGGGTGTCGCAGCGTCCGAATCTGTACCTGCAGAACTTCTCGACTGAAGATTGGTCCGTGTTGATGACCAACTCTTCGTACCAGAACGCGATCGGGACTGTGTACGTGTTTGACTCGCTCCTTGACATTGTGAGCTTGAGCTGAATTTGCGTTGTAGTGGTCACTTGTGAGCTCCTATCATGCTGTACTCGATCGCACTCATCTCTGACCATATCCTGGACGCATACAGCCACATAGGAATATGTACGTCCACAATTCCCATCTCTGCATCCTACTTGTGTCCTTGACTGTCCTCTTACCCCAGACATGCGCATCCTCCTCACGTTCCTCATGGACCCCGACGCGCGTCCGACGCCCAAGGACATGAAGCTCTGGGTGGACGTCATCCGCTTCGTCAAACGCGGTGCGCGCGGAGGCGCGTTGAGCTTCTTCACGTACATGGAGCTCAGTACGTGACCCCTTTGGCGACTGCTTGAGATGCCTTTGCTGACGGCGTTGATGCACAGCGATCTGGCTGTTGTTGTTCCATGTGTTGCGCATCGACCGTTTAAGATGGTGAGTGTCGGCATCCATTGTCGTTATCTTAGGTGCGTCGGTTGGGGTATATGCTTATCGTATCGGGCAGGGTGTTCTTTATTATGCAGGGGTGGGGCGTGTACCCGGAGGAGTACAGTCAGGCTAAAATCTCTCAAAAGGCGAAGGCTGCGTGAACGTTCCTGATGAGCCACGGACTGATGAGGTTATTGTCGGACACGGACTAGTATGTTGTATACTCTTGTTGCTGTATCGTACACTTTACTTTCGTAGACAATATCCGAGCACTTTAGATGTAAACCGTGCTCATCTGGCAGGTGTCTCGCCAATCATTAATACTTCTCCACACTGTCAGTGAGAAGTGCTACCAGGATGCGCTCCGGCTCGTCCCAATGCACCTGTCGACGCCCTTCAGCAAGAGGACTACGCCCACAGATCTTTAGGCACTCACGAAATGGTTCGCCCCTTCCAGTTTCACCCACGTCGCCTCCCTCAAACGCTCGCTTTTCTGTCCCACCTCTTCAAACGTCCACTGCAGGTTCCACGACGTCCACGTCGTCTCCCACACCGAGCGGTCGCACCACACGTGCCTGACCTCGACCGCGCGCCAGCCCTCGTCCGCAGGAACAGCGAGCGCCGCCTCGCGCAGCGTCGCGAACGTCCCGCTCCGCATGCCCCCCGCGAGCAGGAGCGCGTCCGACCCGCCAGGGGCGCCGGGTGAGGGGTACAGCACGCGCGCGACCTCGTCGGGCGTGAGCGTGGAGAGCGTGGGCGGGGGCGAGGGGAGATAGGCGCGCCGCTCGAGTGCCGCTGCGGCGAGTCTCTCCCACTCCGAGGGGGAGGCGGAGGTGGAGTCGAGGGCGTCGGTGTGGTGCACAAAGTAACCACTGACCCAGTGCGCGAACGCGCGCGCGCGGTCCGCTGGGGCGATTGAGGAGTCGAAGAGCGGGTTGTAGGGGTCCGGGGGCGGTGGGAAGCCGAGGACGTGGTAGGGCGGGTCTGGGGGTGTGTGGCTCAGGAAGTGGTGAACTACGACGGATGGGATGTCGCTTACCGAGGAGGACGACGCGGCGCAGGTACTGCGTCAAGTCGACTTCGCCCTCGCCTTCGCCTGCGTGGAGAGCAGGCGCGTGCGCGAGGAAGGCCGTCATCCACACGGTACCGAACGACCAGCCGACGAGCACGAGCCCGCCCTTGCTCGCTTCGCGCTGGGACTTGGGGATGTTGGCGTCGTGCACGAGGCGCGCGAGCAGGTCGGACACCTCGCGCGCGCGCGAGCGCATGAAGGGCTCGAGCTGCGCGTGCGCGTGCGCGGCGGCTGCGTCAGACTCGGGCGAGGACGCGGACTCTGTCGCGATCGCGGAGAGGAGGGAGCGCTCCTCGGGCGAGAAGGGTGTCGCGCCGGGGTAGTCGCGCCGGTTGACGAGGACGACGCGTGCGTTGTGTGCGTGGGCGAGGGGTACGAGCTTCGCAAAGATGCCTGGGGATCGTGGTGGTGAGCGCTCTGTGGGTTGCGACTAGTGGGCTACGAGGAGGCGTACCGCTGTGCCAGGCGAAGCCGTGGAGGAGGACCACGGTTGTGTAGTCGGTGCTACCCTCAGGAGGTCCCGAATCCTGCAGGATGGAGAGAGCCGCGGGGTTCTTCTGGTCCTCAGGTGGGGAGGCCATACTGGACGTTCTCGAGCCCGGGTGCAAGGACGAGCTGGGTCTTATATCCTGGCTGTATGCGTCGAGAAAGCCGTTCCTAGAGCTTCAGAGTTGCCATTCAACGGGACGTGTAGTTATTCGTTTTCAAGGGGTCTCGTTCCCAGAGATTTCGGCGAGCTGCGAATAGCGTTGGCTCACGTGAATCTCTTAGAAGCCTAGCTTTCAGTCCCACGGTACCTACGGTCAGGCGATTGCTAACATATCGTCTATCTGCATGCTTAATGCGACCCTTGCATTGCCCAGTTGGCTTTCAGAAGGTAGTATTCACTTCACTGAAACGTTGCGTTACAAAAAGCTCAGGTGTGTCACAACTACACCTCGAGATCATCGCTGCCAGCAGGAACAGCATCGAGGATAGCATGCATTGCGCGCTCAGGTTCGTCCCAATGGACCTGGTGTGAAAGGTGCGTTGTGATAAGCATGTGTCACGAGCTTGCATATCTTCTGTACTCACAAAGTGATTCGCGCCTCGTACCCGCGTGAACGTCACGGGACGCAAGGGTATCCCGGCCTTCCTCTCGTCTGCGACTTCTCTACGCAAGTTGACGTCGGCCCAAAGTATGAACCACAACGAGCGGTCACACAAGAGGTTGCGGACTTCGACATCTTTCCATGCGTCGCCTACCAGGGACGCGTTCGGAGGGGGGAGGCGCAAGGCATTCTTGCGGAGGGTGTCGAACAGTCCGCTTTGTCTCGCAGCGATCATGAGAAGATAATCGGATCCTGACTTTGAGTCGCCTGGCGCATCATGCTTGGTGGACTGTCGTTCCTCCTCCGTCATCACGGTGAACGTAGGAGGCGGAGAAGTGAGGTAGGTTTTGTACTCGTACTGTTCGGGACTGTCTCCGTGCGGAAAGTATGCGGTGATCCATTTGGCCATGAGCTGTGCGTATTGCTCAGCCGGGAGCGTCCCGTCGTTCAAAGGGAAGTAAGCGTCCGGGAGGGTTTGAAAGCCGATCACGAAGTCGGCGGTGTCTGCATGAAATCGAGACGCTTGAGGTCTCGCAGATTCCGAGAAACGGAGGACATACCATATATGATCACCCTCCGCATATATCGGCCCAGTTTGATGTCGCGAACAGGGAAGGACGCAGCGTTTGCTAGCAGCGCCGTCATCCAAGCCGCCCCAAACGACCATCCTCCGATGATGATCCCGCCTGTGTTCGCCTCGAAATTCGCTGGAGGAATGTGGTGTTCGGCCACGAGGTGGATGAGTAGATCGTAGATTTCGCGTGCTTGCCTCTTCATGTGCGCATCCAGTCTGTCCCTTGCGGAAAGGGGATTCTTCTTTAGCTCTTCGACCGCCTTCGAGAGCTCGGCTCGCTCTTCGAGGGTGAACGGCTCGGCACCCGGATAGTCTTGTCTGTTCACCAGTATGACGCGGGCGTTGAATCGGCCAGCGATAGGGACCAATTTCGCGAATACGGCTTGTGAAAGCAGGATGGATACAATTACCGTTATGCCTCTGAAGCAGTTAGAATAAGGAGCGAACTTACTGCTATGCCATAGAAGCCCGTGCAAGAGGACGATCGTCGTGTAGTCGGTGCTTCCTTCGGGCGCACCGGAGTCTTGGAGGATTCCGAGCCGTAGAGTGCGCTCGGTCATGATCGACAGAGTGTATCAAGACAACAAGGGCGGCTTCCACGATCGACTACTTACGTCTCTATGCTTTATGATCGTCCCTACCCCTGTGAGAACGCTTTGCTTTCGTGTGCGATCCGGTGATTCCGGAAAGCATAAGATTTTCTATAGATTAGTCAAATCCATCACAAAATCACATCGAAGACTCGACACGAGGTTAGGAAGGGAGTCGTCTCCGCTTACAAATAACGACACCAGACTCCTTGGTATCGGCCTCGAGGGATCCTGAACTGACTTACTGCCAAAGAAAGGTGCCGACTGTCATGATACTGAACTTGGGCAATCCTGATCTTTTCGCTCGTTGATTGCTTGAAGTTGGAGAGGCCTGACAAGCTGTATGCCCCCCACTTCGGGAGTCCATAGCATGCAGGCAGGCGGGGTGAGCGTTCTGCTTGTTGTCATTGTGCTCCTGAAGGAAATGCAATCAGAGCCGCATTCTGGTTGCTCTTGGCGAGAAGCAGAGCGTAGTAAGTACTCACGAGATGATGGACGTACACGGCTAAAGCGCATTCGGCTCTGGAAACAAAATGAACCAAAATGTCCGGGGAGGATGGTCCCGAGCGCCGACTCGGGCCGAGACATTCCGAATGCTGAGTCGTCTCAATTTCGTGAAGGGCAGCCGCATCAGCGAAAAAGCGAAAAGGATGGACAGTGATGACCAGGTTCCGCAATTCTGACCAGATTGGCCAAGGTATGAGAAGTAGATGGTAAACCCGTAGCAAATCCGCCAGATATGGTGTGCAATGGCCAGACCTTGCAGGGCGCCTGGACATTGACAGCCATTTCTTGCTGAGCATTTGGACAGCAGCTACCATGCTATAGGGGAACTAAGGCCGATGATGTACATTATTGACTGAGCCAATGGACATACATGGTCAGCATCTGGTGCAAATTCTACTATGGATGCCCAAGCTCATGCTACGAAATGGTCGATTTGGATCGTTTACGAAGAAAGCTAGCCGACAGATTATCGCACAATTCAATGTTGTATATTCCATAATTAATAGTCATTGAGGGCAGACTACTATACATGAAAGAAGAGAGACATGAATATATTTACCAAGTACTCGCGCAATTCGGCGGGGTTAGGGTTAGTAGCATTAGAGCTTGTAGGTGAACATTGTTGAACCCGGGGGGCGAAGGCCTCTCCCACGGGTGGCAACGACAGCGGATAGCCTGCAACTCACCTAGAAGGGTTGGTTGATTGTAAGAGGCTTGTAAGAGCGATGAGAGGAGACGTTCGAGTGAACTGAACTGTAGATTGGGGGTACAGAGGTCCCCTATATATACTACTGTACATCTGTGGCTACGTAGTACTATACAGTACATTTCCAGGATGCACAGTCGCACAGAGAAGCAGTGCGTACACAGCGAAGCTGTGTGTGTACCACATGAGTAGTACAGCCTCGGTTATTGCAGTAACCGGCTGTGCCGTTCCATATCTTGTGAGGCTGTATTAGGCAAGCTGTGTAAACCAGCGCCTGTTCAACAAACATGTCGATGTCAAAGACGAGCTCGTATAATTACGGGGCGAAGGTGACCGGGCAGAATGTCTTCTTGTCGTGGGGCTGCAGGCGGGTCTTGGAGTG